GCCCGGGGGCCGGAAGGCGCTCAGAACACAGAGGCAAAAACCACAGACTGCAGCTCGCGGCCATGAAGGTGACGCAGGACCCGGCAGCAGTTCATTCCCTCTCCAGGGTCACCGTCAGTCAGAGTGACTGTCAAGTCACAGCAGCATCAGCCCCAAGCACACGCTGACGGCACCAGCACCCTGCACGGAGGCTCCCGGACCCACCGCACAGATTAGAACACGGAGGAGCTCTGGGTCGCACGGGGCTGTGGCCTGGAAGTCCATCTGCTGGCCTCCAGTTCCCGACTCTGGGAAAACCAAGGTGACGGGCAGCGGAGCGCGGTACCTGTCTGTCTCCAGCAGCATGGGTGGCAGCTCAAACTGGGCCCCCCACGGGAGGTCCTTCCTGCCATCAGCCTGGTCTCGGCTGGAGTCCTCTGGCGGCGGGGGCGATCCGTTCAGCACAGAGCCGTCCTGGGAGCAGACAGAGGAGCTGTGCGAGGCTGCCAAGGACATGGGTGAGCTGTGCCAACAAGCTGGGCATCCCTGAGGAGGCATGGGAGGCCCAGTCCTCCCGCCAGCACCCGCGAAGGAAGCCGCCGGGGTAGGGGCTGGGCGGACGTGAGCTCACTAACTTGCCACCAGCTGCTCCCTCCCCACCTCAGAGCCGGAAAGGGGACGCCTACGGACCAGGAGACACCTGTCTGCCCAGGAGGGCCCCCGCAGAGCGCCCTCAAAAGCCTGCAGGTGGCTCACAGTGAGACCAGGCCAACCGGATGCTGGGGGTCCTTCAGACCAGTCGCCTTTAAAAACCCCTTCCCAAAGCTGTGCTCTCTGGAGGACCAGGCGATGGAGAAGAGGGGGCCAGCCCCAAGTGTGGCCCGCCCCTCTGCACGCCTCAGACCTTAGCCTGAGCTTCCACTCAAGCTTGTCTGAGGGCCTTGCTGCCAACTCCAGGGCTAATCCAGACCTGACTCCCAGCCCCCAGTCAGCCCTGCGAGGGTTCTGCTAACCAGTGTGCCCGCCCCCTCACAATGCTGGACAGGTTCTCCTGCCCCTCAAACTGCACCCCACGGGAAGCTGCTTGGCCCCACTTAGCTGGAGGTCAAGGGCACTGAGCCGTGGTCCTCCGTCTGAGCCCCTGCCACGTGTCATGAGTTTGACCCTCCAGACGGCCCTGTGAGGTCGGTATTTTCTGCAGCCCAATCTTAGGAAGCTGGCTCCGAGTCGACTCGAGGCCTGTGCCCCACAGGCCGGCCTTTAGGGACCAGGTTGCCGGGCCTTTCCTTCGAGGTACCTCTGGGTGGACTCAGATCCCAGCCTTTCAGCGAGCAGCTGAGCGCGTTCGCCGTGTGTGCAGTGACGGAGGGGACGGGGACTCAGGCAGGAAAGGACTACGGCCCCAAAGCATCACATCTGGGTCTAGAGTGGAAGCGATTCACGTGGGGCGTGTTCCCAGGAAACGCAGTACAGGGTAGGGACGTGAGACAGGAACGGATCAAAGCCTGCATTGCTTTCCAATGCCAGGGTCCCCTGTGGACAAGCCGGGGACACACTGTGGAGCACACGGACCAGCCCCTCACAGCCATCTCATCCTGGGGGTGCTGACCCACCCACTTCTGTCAGTCACAGGCTGAGGCCAACCCCCTAGCATGCCTGTCCTGCCCTGGGACGACCAAGGGCCTCGGAGCTGGAAGCCCAGTGGGACGTTTACAGGAGTGGGGAGGGCAGAGGGGACATGCAGGTGCGTTGCTGCTGTCGGCAGCCATCAAAATGACTCTGATTCATGGTGACATGACAGAGCAGAACCACTCTGTAGGGTCTTCTTGACAGAAACCTTTGTGGGAGCCCGTCCCCGGGTCCCTTCTTCTGTGATACCACAAGGTGAGCTCAAACCTCCAACCTTTAGTTCAGCAGTCCAGCACTTAACCATATGCACCACTCAGAGACCTCTGTGGATATAGTGCTTACCGTAGTGCCCTAAAGAGCACTAGGCGGTTCAAACCTAACTAAAAGGTTGGCAGTTCAAACCTACCAGCCGCTCCATGGAAGGAAGATGAGGCAGCCTGCTTCTGTAAAGAGGACACCCTTGGAGACCCTGTGGGCAGTTCCACTCTGTCCTCTAGAGGCGCTGTGGGTCAGAATGGACTCCACAGCAGTGGGTGTGGGTTGGGCTTTGCTTCTGTGAAGATTGACAGCCTTGGAGACCCTGTGGGCAGTTCCACTCTGTCCTCTAGGGGCGCTGTGGGTCAGAATGGACTCCACGGCAGTGGGTGTGGGTTGGGCTTTGCTTCCCTGAAGACTGACAGCCTTAGAGACCCTGTGGGCAGTTCCACTCTGTCACAGGGTGGCTAGGAATTGGCATCGACTCAGGTGGTACTGCCCCCAGGGAGGGCAGCCTGGCAGCACTGATGGGAATTCTAAAGACAGTGCCCCCCACAGACACTGTGCGGACACCCCATGAGCTCAGGGTGAGACGACATCTACCGCCTTGTGTCCCAGAATGACTTGCTGAAGCCCTGACCCTAACCCACAGCCTGCACCTGTGACCCTGTTTCAATCAGCCTCCCCTCTGCTGCAGTAATGAGAACGTGTGGACCATGGTTGGCTCTAAACCCTTCTGAGTATAGAGACCAGATGAGACACAGAGGTGCTCAGAGGAGAGCACAGACACCATGAGGACACATGTCTACGAGCCACGGATCGCCGGGGCTGCTGACAAGGACAGACCTCCCCCTGGAGCCAGTGCCCTGAGGTGGCCTTCAGCCTGGAGCGCTGTGGCGTGTGGTACGTTCCAGCCCCACGGCCCTGGCACCGTACACCCCCGCGGGCTGGGGTAACGTTGATCTGGGCGGAGGCCAGGCGGGTGAGAGCAGGCCTTGGCGGAGAGACTCACGTGCAGGGCGCCAGCCATCAGTGAATGCAGGAGCAGCAGACGGTTGAGTGTGCCCTCGCCCCGCTCCTGTGAGTACAGGCGGTACCGCTTTTCCAGGGCGTCCGGCACCACGAGCCCGCCGTCTTGGGGAGCAGGAAAAGCAGAGGTTAGCAGGGGCGATGGGAGGCACCACCCTACAGCCAAGTCAGGCCAAGCATCCGTCACTGGATGCTTGTTCAAAAGAACGTTTTTGGCCACTCAAAGGCAAGTTCCCACCCTCAGAAAGGTTCTTCCCGACAGTGGGCCGTCTGCATGTCCCAGACTTCTGCAGTGTACCAACATGCTAGGTGTTCACACACTGCTTTCCAGCGCTAAGCACACAGTTAGCGATACTGATGGAGAATCAGAATTAAAGTTCTACATTAAGGGGACCCCTGGGTGTGCACCCCAAAGAACCGAAAGTGGGGCCTCACAGAGAAACTGCACCAATGCCTGCTGCAGCACTTTCACCACAGCCCACAGGGGACCATCAGCAGGTGATGGGCAGACACAGTGTGGTCCAGTCACACGGCGCGCCTCGGCCAGAAAGACGAATACACTGCCCGGGGGTGAACCATGATGACATGGTGCCGAATGACAGAAGTGGGCACGCAGGACAAACGCTGTCTGCTCCCACTCCCGTGAAAGTCCAGAAGCAGCAAACGCCTGGACAGGACGTAGGTTCCCGTGCCAGGGCTGCTCGGTGGGTGCAGCATGTCTGGGGGAGGGGAAGGGGGTGAGGTGGGGGGTGGGGACGCCTGCCCAACAAGGTGGAGGTGACTGGGCCACAGGGTGACCCGCTCAGCAACAGCTGAGAAGGCGAATGCTTTGGCACGGACCTCAGCGCAGGAGCCCCGGGGGCGCGGTCACTGAGCACGTGGCTGCTGCCAGAGGCCGTGGCCCGGGCTCACCTTGGATCAGCTGCCTCTGCTCGCGGACGAGCTGCTCGCCCAGCAGCCGGTGCTGGCGGCAGCGCTGGATGACGAAGTCCTTCTGGCGCAGCAGGTTCTTGCAGCACAGGCTGCGGGCCTGCAGCTCCGTGTTCTCTACCTCCAGCTCGTGGGCGCGACACAGCAGCTGCAGCACTTCCCGCTGGCCCTCGCTGATGGCCTGTCTGGGCAGCAGCTTCTCCATCTGCGAGGCCTTCTTCTTGGCGTTCGCCAGGCGCTGCTCCAGCCCCGCCTGGCGAGAGACCAAGCGTGTGGGCAGACGGGCTCCCACGGGGACATGCAGGTGGCCGACAGGCACGTGCATCGAAGCCACAGCGCCATGCCCCTTCATCCCTGCTGGCACAGCCGCTACCGATAAACACAAGTGTTGGTGAGGACGTGCAGAGACGGGGACTCTCGTGCCTCGCTGGTGGGACCGTGAGCTAGTGCAGCCGCCACGACAAACAGTGGACAGCTCCTCCAGAAGTTAAACACAGTTCCCACGCGACCCAGCAACTCCCCACAAGACCTGAGAGCACGGGCTCACAGACGCGTGTACACCAGGGCTCACTGCAGAACTGTCCACAGAAGCCAACAGGTGAGGACAGCCCAGGTGCCCCTGAGCAGGTGACGGACAAACCGAGGAGGCCCAGTCCCTGACCACGGCCGTCAGAGTCAGCTGCACTCCGTGAACAGAAGCCCACTTCCCTCCCAGGGTTCACGGGCCGGGACTTCTCCAAAGCAGGTGGCCAGGCACTTCTGGTGAACTCGCACCACCGGCCTTTCGGTGGCAGAGTGTGAGCCCGTGTGCCCAGGCCAGGGCAGGGTCCAGAGCAGCCCAGGAGGATGGCTCCAGGCGTCTTCTCCGGAATTAACGAGGGTGCCATGCTGGGGGGTTGCTCACCTGTGCCAACAGGACCCTACTCCCCTCCTTCAAGGCCCCGCTCCCGGTGCCCTCTCCCTGCAGTCAGCTCCCAGCCAGCTCAGCAGCCCCTTGGACCCCACTGTTGGGGCACCATTATTATGAAATGGGGGGGGGTCTCTCCCCACTGAGCTGAAGTTGAAGACAGTGGCCTGTCACTGTCCCCTGGGGCCTGGCCTTGACCTTGACACTGAACCATGGGTTTGCTTGAACTAATGACTGAATGGGGCTTCTCGCCCACAGACGATGCCACAAAGCAGCACCCGCCGGCCCTCAAAGGGGTGCCCTCTGCCGGCGGCCACACTCCTCTGAGCTAAACGCTTTCCCTTGCTCTGAAGCTTGGAGGGCTATGGAGGTGAAACGAGTCTTTGAACGATTGTTCTGCTACGGAGTCTGCAGGAGCTCTCTGTGAGACACCGTCAGACAACCTCCACTTGCCTGAAGATGTGTCTGCAGACACTCGGCGGCGGCTGGGACAGCACCCAGGGCCAGCCTGTCGTTTTCCGCAAGAGTGACGCTCAGGGAACTAGCTGTTAGAGGGATGGCTGCCGGGTCAGCCTCAGCCTTCCCAGCAGCCTTCACCGCCCACACAGACACACCCTCTGAGGAGCAGAGCAGGGACTTCCCTCTGACTGTGTCCCTCGGGTCCCTGCCAAGGCGTGGCCATTCCAGGGGGTCGTTGTCTGGCACAGAGGCGATGCACACACATAGTGCCCCCCCACACCCCATTTCCAGGGCCGCTGGCCTCTCTGTCCCCATGGGCCACCCTGTGCACGGCCTGCAGCCCTGGGTCAGTCAGGTGCCAGGTTCAGGGGCAGGTCCTGGTCTGGGGACATGGGCAGCTCGCCTGACCTCTCTGTGCCTCAGTTTCCCCATCCATGAAATAGTTGTGGGGGGCCGCTGCAAGAAAGGGAAGAGGTCAGGGCCACAGAGGGTCAGGGACTGGTAAGGGTCCGGGCATCGTATCATGACCGAGGTCACCATGGCTGGCACCCGCCTGTCGCCCCACCTTGAGGGCGGCCGTTTTCCGCTGCTCGGCAAGAAGTGTGCTGATCTCCTCTCTGGCCAGGGCCACCTCGGGGGGCTCCGCACACTCGCCCTCCACGTCGGCCTCCTGCAGCTCCTCGCCCCCCTCGGGTCCAGGCCGCTCCCCGTGTGCCTGGTGGGTCTTCTCCCGCTCCCAGCTGCGGCCACAACAGAAGGTCAAGTCGCCAGCACGCCTGAGGCTACACGTGCTGCCTCTCAGGCCCCCTCAGGCGTGGGCACAGCAGGGGCAGAGCTGGGCCCACAGTCCCCTCTCTTCTCTATGAAACCTTCTCAGGCCCTGGTGGCCCAGCAGGCCCCCTCAGGCCCTCTCAGGCGTGGACATGGCAGGGGCAGAGCTGGGCCCACCATCCCCTATCTTTACTGTATTAAGGAAAGGTGTGAACACAAACTGGAAGGAAACATAATGAACAGCAGATGGGTGGCAGGGTCACTCGGAGGTGAAGGCAGGTGTCTGCAGCCAGCAGGCCCAGCTCAAAGCCCGTCCCTTGGAGCCTCGACTTCCCCAGCCATCCACCTGTGACCCGGCAGTCCCAGCTCTGTAAGGACGGACTGAGATAACCCGAGGCTCGTGGTCAAAGCCCCAGACATGCCTGTCAGGGGCTGGAGGCTTCTGAACACCAGTGAGGACCACGTGGCGGCCGCTCGTGACCGAGGACCGGAAGGGAACAAGGCCAAGGAACACGTGGGGCTGAAAGTGGGTGCGCTAGGGAGCGTGCCCCTTTAGATCTGGAATTCCAGATGAAGGCTCCAGGTCTCTGTGCCACGAACAAAAACACAGATGGGGAGGAGGACCACAGGGAGCAGCGAGAGAGGGCACAGAGAACAGGGCTTCAAATCAGCACCGTTTTAGGTTCCACCCTGCCCCCAGCAGCCCCGGGGACCCCCTCACTGGCATGACTGGTAAAAGCCCCTCCCCCTCTGACGCATCCCTGTTTGGAGAGAAATGACATGGTCCCTCTCCAAGGAAGCACACAGCAGGCATGAGTTCAAGTGTCACGGCCTGGACTGGTCCCCACAGTCTGTGCAGAATCCTGCCCCTACACCTGTGGCGGTGACACCCTTTGGAATGGGGTTTTCTGTTTTGTTAATGAGCCCAAATCAGTGCAGGGTGTGTCTGAAACCTTCGAGTTGTAAAAGGAACAGGTAGGTCAGGCACAGGGCGGGGAGACCGAGGCCACACGGAGACCACCAGGGAAGGAGAAAAGCCGAGAAGCTGAGACAAGGCTTCTTCCCGAGTCCCTGAACTTGGACTTCTGCTATAGCAGCACTGAATGACTAAGACGGAGAGCCAGCGTGGACGGCCCCGTGGCTGTGTGACGCTGGTTAGGCCCACAGCTCCTCTGAGCTTCAGCCTCCCCTTTCGTAACTGGGTTGAACCCTTGGACCTGCTCCAAGTGTTCTTCCACCCGGCCCTCAGCTCCGGGGCAGGAGCATGGGGAAGGGATCAGGCCAGTAGTCCTACCTGGGCAGAGGGGATGCCCTGACCAAAGTTGCATGGGGACCTGCAGGCAGAAGCGGGTAGCTGGGCGGCAGCAGTCCAGGGAGCCCCAGCACAGCCCCTGTGGTCCTGGCTGGCCTCCCCTCCCCGTCAGGGGGACAGCATGGGCCTGGTGCCCAGGGGCACTCACTCTGCGATGGTCAGCAGGTGGCGGGAGGTGTCCACATGCAGCTCGATGTTGGTGTTCTCGAGCTCCACCAGGCTGCGCCGCATCTCCAGCTGCTCCTTGAAGGCCCCAATGAGCTGCGCCCGGATCTTGTTCATCTGCTGGCGGCTCTCTTCCTCGGTGTCATGGGCTGGGATCACAGCTGTGGGTGGGAAGAGAGCTGGCTGCACTGGTAGTGAATTCCATGCTCACACAGCAAAGCGGGGCCTGGTCCATGGAGGGTATCTTATTAACGTGAGGGGATGGACAGGTGGGTGAGTGAATGGATGGTAGGATGGAAGGATGGATGGATGGAAGGATGGGTAGATAGGTGGATGGAATGGATGGGAGATAGATGGATGGATGGACAATGGAAGGAGGGATGAATGGATGGATGGGTGGGTGGAAGATAGATAGGAGATGGACAGATGGACAATGGAAGGATTGATGGATGGAGGAAGGATGGATGGATAGAAATGGATGGATGGATAGAAATGGATGGATGGATAGA